TTCAAAACAAATCAAGAATTGAGATATCAAGGAATAAGTATGCACTGGTGGCCATATTTGCAATTGCAAGTGAGGTATAAAAAAGACCTAAAAGAATATGGCTTTTATAAAGAACAACAACAACTTGATAAAATATTACTGGAGGAGAAATTCATAATGAAAATATAAAACTATCTGTTAAGATTTAATTAGAAGAACTAGTTAAATGGTCTATGATAGCTTGGGCAAGAAATTTTGGGTACAATATTGAATTAGGACACTGTGAAAAATTATGGACAAAAAATTACAAATTAACAATGTCCGTAGCCTACAAGGAATATGTATATGTATATGTATGTATATGTATGTATATGTATGTATATGTATATGTATGTATATACACTGCTCAAAAAAATAAAGGGAACACAAAAATAAGATATCCTAGATCTGAATGAATAAAATAGTCTTATTAAATACTTTGTTCATTACATAGTTGAATGTGCTGACAACAAAATCACCCAAAAATTATCAATGGAAATCAAATTTAGCAATCAAATTTAGGTTTCTTAGGATGGCTGCTATTTTTCTGTCTGTTCCTAGATGTACTAATCTCCAAAAATCAGGTGGCACACTAGGACACACCATATACCAGAAGAAAACACACACCAACCGCTACCTCAAAGCCCAATTCCACCACTACCCAGCACAGATAAACTCCGTGGCCAAAACACTAATTGCCAGAACCAAACACCTGGCAGACAAGACATACATAAAGACTGAACTATGCACCCTGACTAAAGTACTGACAGCCAAAGGCTTCCACAAAAGCAAAATCACAGGCCTGATCCACAAAAACACACTGAGACATAATGGAGACCTAGAAGATGAACAGACCTATGGAATAGCTATCCTGCCCTACATAAGAGGTACTACAGACAAAATCAGCAAGATACTACACAGTCATCACATCAAGACTGCCTTCAAAACAGACAGAAATATAGGAGCCTAAGAAACCCCCAAAATAAAATTGACCTGGGAAACCAAGGCATATATGAAGTCCCCTGTGCATCATGCCCTGCCACATACATCGGACAGACCAATAGAAGAATAAGTACCCACCTGGATGAACACAAAAATGCAGTAAAAAAGCTGGAACACACTTCCTCATTAGTCCAACACATGAAAGCCACAGGTCATAGCATCGACTTCAATGGCACCAAAACCCTAGCCACTATAGAAAACCCCAGCTACAGAAATATCAGAGAAGCCATAGAGATTGAAAAAAGACCTGAAAGCATGAATAGAAGAGATGACTCCACCAGACTGTCAATTATCTAGAAGCCTGCACTTGCAAACAAAAAAATCTCCACACCACAAGCCAAGCAAACACCTGGGCACAAACAGACCCCCCCACTGATACCTCCAGCTCAAACACACGCCAACCAGGCACCCAGATGAAACCTAGCTTCCTAATAAATGACAGCCATCTGTTTCCTCGAAGCCAAGCTGCACTAAAAGCCTCCAATACAGAAAACACAATTTTGCCAGCCAATTAACACAAAAAAAAGCCACAAAACAGACAGAAGATATTAGAAACACCAATCAAGTAGAACACAGCAAACTCCAAGACCAATAAACACAGACCAAGACTCCCAACCAACCAGGATGAAGAAAAAACCATTCTGGCACAGCAGTAGGCTAGCACCAAATTTAAAACCGAAACAGCTGTGAAAGTCTGACTCACAGACGAACACTATACAGAAGCCTGATGATGGCAGATGAGATTCTGCCGAAATGTTGTTACAACTTTAAAAGCACAACTATAATGACGTGGGAAAATACCTGAACAAAGCTGAATGCCATACATATAAATACCCGTGAAAACTTAAGAAATATACATATATGTATATGTATATTTTGTTGGCATTTACTGCTGGCTAATTTGGTGAAGACGTATCCAAACACAAGTCTGGAATGTTGGAAGTGCAAACATAAGTTGGAAGTGCAAACATAAAGCAGTGCAAACGTAATTCTTTCATATGTGGTGGCTGTGTCCCAAATCTAGGAAATACTGGGCAAAGATAAGAAAATTGTTACAGGAAAAAACAAGTCTTCAAACTGAGCTTAACTTGAACTTTTCCTACTAGGGATAATAAAAGGAGAATTCAGTAAAAAAGTTAAATATATTATATTGCATATGGTGACAGTGACTAGAATTACTTTTGCATAAAATTGGAAATTGGACAGCACCTCTTCCAAGGAAATGATAATTAAAAAAAAGTGTTGGATTGTGCAGAGATGGACAAGCTTACTTTAAAATTGAAAGACAGAGAGGAATCAGAATATTACATGCTCTGGGACATATGGTATAGGTGGCTAGATAATAGAAATAAAGATTAAGAGTATATAGATATATCAGTATCACCGATGTCACAGTATTGTAAAGAATGTAAAAGAGATATGTAATCTTGAAAAAGGTGCAATAAAATATTAATAATAAAAAGAATTTAAGATAAGATAATAGGAAAAATATATCTTTTGTTATATTTTAAGAGAAGATAATAAGTTATATTACAACTAATTACTTAGTAAGCTTTCAAGTTATGACAAACCTCTCCAGAATTACTTATGACCTAGATTGAGATTTCAATGGTTCCCCTCATCCCCAATTTACAATACAAAATAAACAGGAATTTATTCCTGGGTTCCAGTAAAAACACCCAGGGGTGCGATTCTACCAGTTCTGTCTGGCTCTGTAGAATCGGTAGCTCTGAAGAGCAGCAGACATAGAACCGGTTCTATGTCTGCTGCTGTTTTGGCCCACCGACCAGCCCGGGCTCTTACCTGACCTTTATTTCCTGCTTTTTCAACCTCAGCTGCTTTGCACAGCACAGCAGCACAGCTTTTTCAAATGTTGCATACCTGTGCACAGCGCTGCTCAGCTGTCCAGGCAGCAAGCTGATGACATTTTACACACATGTGCATGTGAGGTGTGCGTGTGCGCTAAGCGCGCAGGCACGCAGAAAACATACATAATCGAACTGGTAGTTACACCGGTCGGATCCCACTCCTGAAAATACCCAATGAAGATAACTGATTTGCTTAATGACCACAATTGCTTAATTGCCACCAAGTTTGTTTAATAACTGCAATGATTCACTTAATGACCATGACGAAAATGGCTAGAAAATTGTTTGTATTTATTGTGATGAAGTGGGAATGCCATCATATATTTTTTCCCTTTTCTTTACTACATTCTTATTTTTTGGTTTGCCTCATGACTTTTATCTTTGTAACTGCAATTTTAATGAAAGTATTATAAGAATACTTTAATAATTATTAACGTACTTAAAATATTAATTGCTTTTGATACTAAATCCTTTTTCCTAAACATTATTTTATTAACATGGATGTGGATTTGGGATAACAAAATTATTGCCTTCTTTTTAATATACAATGTATTCCTATTTCTTCTGCAATCAATGCTTGCATACTTACGGTATTAATTTATACTGCAAATCTAATTGAACTTAGAAGTTATTCTTTCAATATGGGGTATGAAAAAATAACAATCCAGAAACATCTTTCTTTCTGGTATCTGCCATTGCCTTGTCAGCATAGTCCCTGGTGGTATCAATATCTTGTCTTTCTAAATACAAGTCCTGATATTAACTGTCAGCAGTACAGAATCATCTGTAATGTTTGTCAGAGACATATAATCAAAAACTAAATAAGAATGTCAACATGATGGAATTGTGTGATGTAAATTCTAATAAAACTGGCCAAGTCTCAGAAAACTGGCATCCTTTGTATGGTTTTTAAAAATTTCATTAAAAAAAAATAGGCCTTCTATTCTGCTTTAACTTTAGTTTCCCATGTTTTGTTTGTTGTTATTGACTGGTACCTCCCCATACAGGTACACACACAAGGTGTAGCATAGATGACACCTTATAAATGCAACAGACACAAAACAGGAAAAACAAATCTATGAAAAAGCCAGCAGAAGCCATCCTTGTGTCATATTTCTGTTTAGCAACATGTGGAAAGGCACTTCCAGATAGCTGTTTAGCAATCTTCTTCAGAACTTCTGACTGCATCCAAAGATAATTTGAAGATTGTATTTGATTTAAAATATTTTCATTCCCTCCTTCCATTTGTCATTTTATGTCTCCAGATGCTTGACAATAAGTAGAAATGCTAATATAACTGCTGATGCTTCCATACTTTGCCTAAAATGATACTTGCAGTGGATGAGAGTGGAAGATGTCATATAGTCATATTCTGCTATTGAGGCTCTATCAATTAATGCTCTCCAAAGATTTTACGAAAACCACAGGAATATAGTCTCAATGGGACATGATACATGCTGTCTAGAAGCACAACAAACAAAATAGGATTACCTGTTTTGTTCTTTATTGGAAGATATTCTGGATGAATGCCTAATTCTTGATTTGAGTTAAGGTTAGGGTTACACAGCCCAAAACAATACAATTTTTAAAGAATATTACTGTTTATAATAATAAGTCTTTATTGATTAGCCATTAGGCCATATCAAAGTGCAAAGTTCCAGCAACAATTTGTTACTAAAATTTAATAAAAGCAATTCAAAATGAAATTTGATAAAATACTATTTAAAATGGAACTTGATAAAATACAATTTAAAATGGAATCTAAACAAAATACAATTTAAGATGAAATAGTAATAAAATAGAATCCAAAATAAAATTGTAATAATGTACAATAATTTAAGATATAGATAAAATATAATAACATTATATTTCGGAGTTGCCTTGGCAATCTACCCCAATCAATCCCACATACGCAGATCTCAACCGAATCATTTTGTTTAAATACTGTGCTACTTTAAATGTTATTTTCAAGTTCTCGCTGGACATAAGGTAAGTTATTTTGATATGGGTATCCCAATGGGTCATTTGTCTGATATATAGACCAAGATACCTGTCTCTCATCCTCTTATACAAGCAGCAGTCAACTAGGATGTGAGCCAGGTCCTTTACCTCTGCCATTCTGCAAATGCAGAGACGCTCATTGTACGGTATTGCATGAAATCTCCTGTATCTAACCATTGTATCAAGCTGTTCAAATCTCACTCTCATGAATATCTCCCTAAGATGTTTTGGGAGTTGTGACTTCAAGTACCTATCCTGTTTCTCCAACAATACGGCCTCCCCCAATTGAAAGTCCCAGCATGTTTTATAGGCATAAAATGAAATTAAGCCCCTCCCCCCAAATTAAGGCCTATATTAAACATCTGAAATGGGGGAATGGTGGGGCAGCTTGCCCTTAGGAAGTACTTTTGTTGCACACCTGGATATGGTGCTGCCTGCGTTGACCTTGGCATTGATGGGGCACTTCGAATCGGGAGACCTTCCACCACCATTGCTTTCCTTCTCCCTGTGCTGCTGCAGTGTTTGAAGCAATGCCACGGTGTTTGGCGCAGCCAGGTGGGGCCGGCCAGGACTCCCCTGCAACCAGAGCCTGGTGGAGACACTCAGCTTCAGGCACTCATGTCACTGCCTTCGCTTGCATCATTCGAAGGCAAAGCCCATTCTTTTAAAAATGACGCCCTACTACAACAAAGCCTCCCCTGCCCGAGAGGGCAGCCCAACCCCAAATGGGGAGGCGGATCTCCTGGGGCCGCAACGCAGGATTGGCCCACCCCGGGAGAAGTGCCCAGCTGCAATCCCTGCCTGGTGCCGGGCAGAGTGCGAAGAGCTTCGCCTGGAGTGCCCAGCACAGCTGACAGGTGGGCCCTCCTGCCCAGCAGTGGAGCTCTGGCCAAGGCAGCAAGCACCTCCCCACTGGGCCCTCCACTCATCCTGCCAGAGCCGTGTCAGAGCAGGGCGGGCTGGGCAGATCCAGGAAAGCAAGCCATGGGTGCGTGCCCACCTGCCAAGCAAAAGAGCCAGGCCAACCCGAGCTTGGCTTCCTTCCCAAGGCACCACCGGGAAAGGCTGCCCAAGGCAGTGATAGTGCCCACCTGTCTGTGGACAGGGAGGCAAGGCGACAGCAGCACTGCTTCCCTGGCTGGCGGGTCTGATGGAGAGAACCCGAAGCCGCCCATCCTGTCCACCCCTCGCCCATCCGTCCCCATCCCCATGCATCTCCAAATGCGCCAGCAGCTCCAAACACTGCAGTGGCATGGGCATTGGGCAGAGGCGCTCACTCAGCAGGGCTCAGCTCAGAGGAGGACACGGTGCGGCTGTCACCTCGTCTCCCTGTCCACGGATGGGTGGGCATTATCACTGCCTCAGGCAGCTTCTCCCAGTGACCCCTTCGGGGTCGGGATGGAGAGACTTGGGAAGGAAGCCAAGCTCGGGTTGGCCTGGCTCTTTCACTTGGCAGGTGGGTGCGCACCTGTGGCTTGCTTTCCTGGCTCTGCCCAGCCCGCCCGGCTCTGGTGTGGCCCTGGTGAGATGAGCAGAGGGTCTGGCAGGGAGGTGTTCACTGCCTTGGCCAGAGCTCTGCCTCTGGGCAAGAGTACCCGCCTGTCAGCTCTGCTGGATGCCCCAGGCGAAGCTCTTTGCGCTCTGCCCGGTGCCAGGCAGGGATGGGCACTTCTCCCGGGGTGGGCTGATCCTGTGCTGAGGCCCTGGGAGATTCACTTCCCCATGTGGGGTTGGGCTGCCCTCTCGGGCAGGGGAGGCTTTGTCCTAATAGGGCGTCGTTTTTAAAAGAATGGGCTTCGCCTTTGAATGATGCCTGGGAAGGCGGCGACAGGAGTGCCTGAAGCCGAGTGTCTCTGCTGGACTCCAGTTGCAGGGAGGAGCCCTGGCCAGCCCCGTGTGGCTGTGCCAAACACCGCGGCGTTTCTCCAAATGCCGTGGCAACACGGGGAGATGGGAAAGCAATGGTGGCGGAAGGTCTCCCAATACGAAGTGCCCCACCAACACCAAGGTCAACATCCAAGCCATTGCTGCCCGCCCGCCCAAGGATGCAAGGGGGGGATTAAGTCACCCCTGAAAAGACGGCCTAGCTGTTTTTTCAGGGGTTAAAAAAAAAAAAGGCCCGGCCTTATTTTGTGAGAAACATGGTATCTACTTGGAAAGTACATTTGTATTTACTCAACCATTTCAAGTTACCTACCTTACTAAGGATAGCTATATCAGTTTGTGCATCTATATCCTTAATTCTTTGCGCAACTCTGTTTTTAGATTGTTCTCCTGTTATACAAGAGATAGGAAGACCACAGCTTCTTACAAAATTTGTTAGTTTGATGGTCCAGGAGATTTGTGATTGTAGTTTTATTTGCTCTAGTAGGCATAATTTGGGTAGTCTATCAGTCTTCATTTCATGAACTTTGCACCAGTAGTTACAAGCTCTAAATTTAGATAATGCATGAATTGTATAAATTCCCAATTCAGCTCTAACTGCTGCAGCTGATGTTCTTGGGTCTACACCCAAAATACATCTCAAATGCTGGGACTATGTTTGTTCTAGGACTGTGGTTGATTAAAGACCTCAAATTTCTGCTCCGTACAAGAGCATTGTGGTAATCTTAGCCTTATAAACCTTGATTAATGAGACTAGGGACCCTGGATAATTATAGTTTTTTAGTTTGAGCAATACATTCAAATGGGTTTTTGCTCTAAATGTACTCCATTGATGATGGCAGGCCCAAAATCCAGTCTTGGAAAAAGTTACCCTCAAATATACAAAGGAATTAACCTGTTCAATTGGTTCACCATCCAATCGTCACCTATGTCTCTGATGGTTTCTTCCAAACACCATTATCATGGCAATAAAAGCTAAATCTTCTTAATAGCCTATGTATCCTACTTGTGTGTATGATAATAAAATCATATCATCAGCATAAAGCAAACTGTTACAGTAAGTATTTAAATTCATCGGCATGTGTACCATGGTATATCCTTCATTAACCCTGGCAAGTCATTGATGTATAAATTAAATAATAATGGGGACAGGATACACCCTTGCCTTATTCCTTTATTTGTGCAAATCCTGTTAGTCAGGGCCCTGTTAACCCCATATTATATCCTCAAACAGGTACTTGTGTAAAGGGCTTTAATCAAAGCCAGGAGTCTGGGTTCTATTTTAAGAGATGTCAGTTTACTCCATAGTACGTCTCTATTTACCATATCAAATGCTGCTGTAAGGTCTATGAAAGCAGCAATCAGGGGTCTTCTCTTATAGGCATATTTGGCAATTAGATGATTCAAGACAAAGCAGTTATCAATAGTAGATCTGCCTTGTCTAAAACCTGCTTGTTCTTCTGTGAGAATGTTGTTTTCCTCTACCCAATTTCAATTCTGTTCAAAAGGTACCTAGCGTATATTTTTGCTACAATGTCAATCAGACTGATGGGCCTATAATTACTAGGATCCTTTTTATTCCCTTTTTTATATATGGGAACAACTACTGCCATCTTCCACTCATCTGTATATGGCAGCTGTTATTTATGTGTGTGAAAAAGCCTGCTAATACAGGGCCCCACCGGTTGGGAAATTTCTTAAATAGTTCTGCTGGTAGAAAATCCTCTCCTGGGGCTTTATTGTTCTTTAAACTTTTAATGATGGACTGTATCTCCTTTTCTGAGACTGGTGGCTAAGGGGGGGAAGTTCTAGGGTTTATTAAATTACTATTTAAAAATGATTTCTTTGCCAGTTCAGTGGAGGTAAACAAGTACTGATAATAATTCTCCCAATCCTCAGCAGAGATTGGTATGTCAAACGCAAGTCTCTGTTCCTTCAGGATACCTGCTACAGAATGCCAAAATAATACTAGGTTATGACTTCTGGCAGCCAACTCAAGTTCTGACCAGATTGAAATGGCAAAACTTTTTTTCTTTAATTTTATAGTTTTTTTATATTCCCTTCTTGTGTGCAACATCTTAGCTTGTATATAGGCAGTAGGGTTCCTCTGGGCAAGCCTCACGGCTGCCTTCAATTTCTTTTTCAGTCGCTGGCAATCCAAATCAAACCAGCGAGGTCTACCCACTAGGGCTCTTTTTGTAGCAGGTTTAGTTGTTAGATGTTTCTTCAGGATGTTACAAAGATTGGAGAATGCATTGTAGGCTGACATCCAGTCATTAGTAAATCTGGATTGTTCTAGCTCACTTAATAGCATTCTCTGTTTTAAGGCATTCTAATATTGCCTTATTATCAACCTTAGCCCAAATTAACCTTTTATTTTGAGTCACTTCTACCTTTTTAGTAAGCCATCTGTTAGCCATGTTATATGATCATAAATCTGAGTGGCCTCGCAATGTCACACTTATAGGCTGATGGTCACTGTTGTCGCTAAGGTGTACTGTGACCTCCGAGAAGAGGTCAGCCTTATCTCTAGACACACGAAAGAGATCCAGTACACTACTTGAATTAGTTGAGTGGTGTGTATAAGGGTATATGTAATTCTTATCTAACCTCCCCAAATTTGGAGATTACCCTTAAAAATTAAGGAGATTAGGAGCAAACCAGCGGCATTACTTTTATAATCTCTCGAGAGCCACTAAGGATGGTTTTCAAAGAACTCCCTGGGATTCCCTTCTTCTGGGCAAGCTCATACAAAGAGGCACCCAGTCTAGCATTCAGATCTCCTAATAAAACCCCTATGGACTGAGGATACAGTATTGCTATATCTTCTAGGATAACTTCCAAGCACATCCAATATTTGGAATTATAGTGCTGGGATGTGCTTGGAGGAATATATACATTTACCAGTATTAACTCAAACTGGTCATATTCAAATTTGACAGCTAGAAAGTAGGGATACTTATCTTTGTAATATAATTTCTCTCCATTGCAACTCTTGCTTTATAAGAATGCATAGTCCACCAGAGGGTCTCCCTTTGTACTCTGTGTTTTGAGCTGGGGAGGCCCATCCCTGAAAGCCTGGCAGTTGTACTGGTTCATCCACTTTGGTTCACCAAGTTTCTTGAAGGGCTATTATGTCAAATCTAGAGAAAAAGCTCATTGGTCCACTATCAACTATCCCTTTCCAGCATGCTGTTCCAGGTCACCAACTGTATGGGGTCCTCAGAAGCAAGATGATCTGGCTTGGTTAATTGGCTGAATGGTAAAGAAGTCAGACTGACATTGGAGCCAGATCAATATCATCTAAGTTTTCCATATAAACACAATTGTTGTGAGGTTTGATATTTCTCCTCATGGGTTGCAGAACTTGTTGTTGCTTCTCTATATCTCAGTTGCCAGTATGCCTTTGCTCTTGCTCCAAGAATGATTTTTTTCCCAGTGGGGAAGTACTCTGGTTTAAATCTGTAAATGTAGATTTATGTCCATTTTTGGAGTGGCATAGCTGAGGATTCAGCTTGTAGAAAGCTGTTATGGGAGCTTCTAAATCAATTGAAGATGGAAGCTGGATTATCTCCTTAGTGTTTGTCAGTTTAGGGGGCACTGTGTGATGAAGCCTTTTGTCTTTCAGTTGTTTCTCAGAGGTTGGATCAGTCAGTGCAGTTACCCCAGTCAGCTTGTGTGACAGTACCCTCTTTTACTGTTAAGGTAGAGGCAGTTTGTTGATTAAATACATTGTCACAAAATTGTGTGGTTAGTGGAGCCAAATTAAACAGAGACTTCGTTGTAGATTGAATTGTTGTCAATGCCTCTTTTAGGTCATCCAATCTTTGAACGATGTTAACTTGCTCTGGTTCTGACAATGGACTGAATAAATCAATCAACATTTCCTCTGGCACATCCTCAGCAGTTCCTACAGCTGTGGGTAATACAGTTTGTATATTGCTTCTTTGCCTTCTCTGGGTCAGTTCAGTTGCAGCAGCCTCAGGTTTAGCAATTTGAGAGCTGTTGCAACCTAGATTTAAAGCAACAGTTCCCATTTGGTGATGCTGTTTCAGGAGTGGGTACGCTTTTTCTGAGCAAAAAACCCTTATTGGAAATATTGAGAAGGTGCTCAGAAAGGGCTTCATTCTGAAAAGCATGGAGGGTATTATGGGTTGCTTGAACAATAGGAGAATTCTCATACACTGCATTCTTGCTGGCAGCCACTCTGCATGTAGTAGATCTATCAGAGTGAGTTCACAATGGAGCAGCTGGCTTAGGGACAGCCTAATATAAAAGCTCCGTAGCTTTTCTATTACTCCAATGCCCTCTATTTACTCTCTTGTCATAAATTTGCAAGGTAATTTGCAAGGTGTTCAAATTTTGGGGAGGAAAATAAAGGTCCTTCGCTAGTTTCATTTTCTGAGTTAGCCGTCCCATATCTATCTTGGTTATCCTCCCAAGTCCTTCTACAGTATTTGAATGGCTCCTAACAAACATTGCAAAAGATTCTTTCAGGCAATCGAACTTATTTATGACAATTGACAAAAGGTCATATATTGAGTTTACAGTTTGAGCTGTAAGCAAACATTGTCTAGGGAGGAAGTCTGTCACATTTTCCTTCTTTAAATTTGTTACATCTCCCCCCTGAGCAAAGAAGGCTGCTGTTGGACTCCAAGAACAGGAGCCACCCTCCGAGAGGGAGGAAGACAGCTCTACACACTGCTTATCTTCCAGTTCGGTTTGTAAGTCCCATTCCAATGAATCACATAAATTAAGTTTGTCTGACAATGTGCCTGTGAATGAGTTACTCACTGGAACAGACTGTCTGTTTGTAATATAATCTTCCATTTTCTGCTGCTTCAAAGGCTTGAATAAACTCTCTGCTGCAGAGTGCTGTCTCTTCCTTCTTTTCCTCATTCAGGTTTTTTTTGTCGAATGCTCCTTAATGAATTTACCTTAGGAGAGCTGTAAGGCTACCTCAACTCAAAGCAGCCAGAAAAAATGCTGCTTCCTGAAGGAATTATAAATGGATAACATACTTATACCCAAATGGAGAGAATTTCATTGAGACCCATTAGAACATGAGCAGTTTGATAATTTCAGTGTTTTATGTGGAACTTCCCCATAAGAATGTCTGTTTATTACTGTTTATTACAAAAATTGTTTTTAACCTATTATGTACAGACATCAAAGTAGCTTGGACTTGTTAAAGTGCATTCGGTTAGTTAAAGGTTCACATCAGGAATAAATATCCATACCATATACTTTTAGGGTCCCGCATTATGTAAACATCAAAATCTGGGATAAGCATATGGCTAACCTTGT